TTCCTACAGTGATGCATGTTACACTTCAGGCTATTAATACATTAGCTACAGGGCCTTTTAGCAACGACATTATTAGACTTAATTCAGTGACAACTATAATACATTTGAAGATTTACAACCAAATTCCATTAGGTCACATGTCACATGTAAAATAAGATGCCTTATCGACAACACTTTAAGCTCTGCTTATTGTATCTCAAGTTTTGCTAATTGAAGTTGAAAACTATGCAACTTTGCATCTAGAAAAATGGTTTTTCTGGTTTTTGCATCTCTATATTTTCGTTTACTGGAGAGTGGGAAGTATTTGTAACCCTCAGTTTTGTCCATCTCAAATTTCCTTTTTCTTTATAAAGGAATCCTCAAGTGTGGACTTCCTCAATGCATACATGTCAACAAACTATCTGTGTGTCTGTGTTAAACCTATTAATAACCATGCACTCTCCGCTGGTTATTGACATGTCCTAATGTTCACACCTCAGGAATCACCGACATTTATAGTTTGACTTTCCTTGTTTCCCAATAGGACCTATTATAGCGTTACAATGGACGACATCATTGATACGTACCGGGAATGGAGGGAAAAACAAACCTTGCTGGACACCATTGCATCTACACGCAGGTTCAGGTGGGTATATCGCAGTTAGTTATCTTGGCTTTGATTGATCTATAGCCTTTTATCCAAAAATAAAGGATAATTGTTCATTAAATGAAAAGTAGATCAGTTTTAGCATTCATAATGCATTAAAACAATGTAAACAAAGCGCAAAAGTACAGATTGAAGTAAAGGGCACTTGTATCTAACCTCTAAATAGAAACGTCCATCTGGAAGTGGTTCACAAAGAGTGGCATCAAATCAACACCAAAGTTTGTCATTGTATCATTCTCCAACTTCCTTTCGGCAAATTCCTCTGGGAATTTCTTTTGTATAATGTCGTTAAGTGTCGCACTGGCAAAAGCATAAAGAAGATATTGAAGGTAGACCACAGAACTGAAACAAACAATCTTGGTAAACTCTGAAAGCTATAACACTAATTAAGCACAAAAAATTAGCAAGCACATATCATGCTGACAAACAACATAGGTATAGAAAACCATAAAGCAATAATTCTGATGTCAAATAATACAAGCATCTCATTCAATTATTATAAGCACATGTTCTAGAACTGTTGGGCACAAAGGACATTTGTTACCTAGGAAAATTTAACACAAGTCAAGGACAAAAAAGGGATTAGAAGATATAGACTAACTCAATTAAATAGGATCAGTAACAGCAAAACACTCACCTCGATCTATTGACTGAAATCTCTCATTCCCTCTTCATTTGCCTCCCAATTCTCACACTCTCAACAACAGAAACACGGTTTTCTATCTCTTCCTTTCACTCCACACGAAACAAACCCCTCATTTCTTATGCCTTTCCTTATTTTACGTCACCTTTCCTCCTTCTCACACACTATATACATGTCACCTTTGCTCCTTCGCACCAGCAAGCTTCGTCTGTCTTCATTTGGAAACAAAAGGACACGACCCGCCGTGGCGCCCGGACCCGCCCAGGCCGCCTAGGCCGCCTAGGCGCCGCCTAGATCCTCCCAAGCCGCCTAGGCCCCCCCTAACTCCCTGTTGTCGGTGTCCTCCCCCCTAGCGCCTAGGCCGATATCTTGAACACTGCTCAAAACCTGGAACGGGCTTGCTCTCTGCCCTAGACTTTCGTAGTGATGAGTTCGAGTCCGATTCGCCAGAATATTAAAAATAAAAAACCCGAGTATAGCCGCACGGCTATACTATTTTAAAAAAAATTAAGAAAATACGGAGTAAAGCCGTTGTTCTCGCCATCATGCCAAGTAACAAGGAAAAATAAACCAGAAGTATATATTTTGAAATGAGAAGAATGTTTGAGATAATAAGGAAGACTTGGGGTACATCAAGATCAGGTATAGTTTTCTTTGACAATTGAGATTAGGAAGACTTGAGATCAGGTAAAGTCCTTTTCTATCTGTCTCTGGCAGCTGGTATAGTTTGGATAGAATTAATTTACACCAATATCAGGTGATTTTCTTTTACAATCGAATATGTATAGTGCATTAGCAGGTGCTCATGTTTAAGAGTATTTTTTAGCAATATCCTGGAGGTGGGAGAACAGCTTTACTGGTCTAGACAACAGACATGAACATGTGATCAGAACCATTTATCACTTTGACTTCATCTGGTGGATTTAACTATGCTACGAATTATATTTCTTCGCCTATCCTTGTTGAGGAAAAAAATTGGAAATTTTAGATGTAGAATCTAAATTACCTTAACTACAAAGCTTGTTCTTCTATTCCTTCACTGCTCAATGTAACAACGTTCATCCACAAAGTGCATTCACTTCTTAAAAATCTCCATATATGGCCTCAAAGAGTCGTGAGGATCTCAAAGCGCTCTTTCCAGCATTGTCTGACTGTGGCCCAGTTGCCTGACTTAAAGAAACTCAAAGAGTTTTCGTCGAGACTTGGCCTCATTGGTTGGCAAGATCTCATTTTATCACTTCAACTCAAAGGAATAAATGATGCTCTGCAAAAATCTGTGCTGGCAAGTTCATTCTTTTAGAAGTTTATTTCTCTTCCTCAAAACAGAGTTCCTGAAATCTTGTTAAGCTGCAAGCAAAGAGCAACCAGATTAGTTTGGATAAGTCATGATCCAGAGGAACGAATGAAACTAAAAGTGAAAGAAAGAAGTTGACTGTAGTAAAGTCAAAATAAAATCAAACCCTATAGTAAGAGCAATCACTAGTTTACTGGGAAGCATAATGAAACTCATTTCAAAGAGATGTACCGATTCAGAAGAACATTAGGATTGTAGGGAAACAGATTCTTTTGGTGTAGACCTTCAATATAAATTTTATGTGAAAGTAAGCACTCTTTGGCTTCTTTGAAATACTGTCCTCCATTTTGGGTGTGCTTGCAGCCATTTTCATTTTCTTCATCAGGCTCATCATCAAGAAATGTAAGATGATTTTTTGTTGGTGCAAGAGAATCCTCTCCCCAGGAACTCGAGCCACCCAATGAAACTTTTCTTTTTGCAAAATGATTGATTTGTAGCTTGCCCACTAGAAATTCCACAAATAAGCTCCATGAATCACACACTTTACGCAAGCACCTAAAAGTGAATGCATTAAGGACGGTAAGAAGCAAATGAAAGATACAAAGAGTTGCAATTAAAAACAACTGTCTGGGGTCAACCAAATTGATTCTTGTTTTGCTAATTAGTTAAGAAGTCATGTAAAAGCAGAGGGTTAATGTTTTATAGTTTAGTCACCGAGGTCGACACCAGAAAAATGCAGCCCGCCACGGTTTAGATTTCATAAGTTAAGAGAAGGTGTAGAAAGAGAAAAGACCTTAAAAGATATTCTGCACAACTGATTCCGGTATCTTTTGAAATAAGGTAATCAAGAAGCACCTGATGGTCATAGCTCAACTGCAAAATAGGAAGAAAAATGAAAGTGCACAATGTCAGTGATTCTTTTTTATTCTGCAATACCATATACTTCAAATTAACAACTAGGAGGCATGCCGAAGTGGAAATGCAGATATGTAAATGTCCAAGAGTGAGCATCTTGCCTCTAATAGGAAAAGATGGAACAAGAGTACAGGATTGAAAATATCTGAGACACGGAAAAGTAAATTGCCATTCGAATCCTCCAATGCAACCTTTTCCTTTTCATCCCTATATAAACCCAAAAATCTTGTTAAAGGGAATCCATGACGATAACTTTTAAAACAATGGAAAACTAGGATATTAATTCCTTACTGTTCGGCACAACAAGGTACGCAAAGCAGATGCAAGAGCACTTTGAATAATACATCATCCTACAGTTCAAAAACAAAATGAGGACATGAGTCTTAAAAACTGCAATTTTAGTACGTGAAATTGTTGAATAAGATGATCCAGTCAGATAGACAAAACAAAATATGGATACAAATTTTCTTTTTTGTGTCTGGGTGAATAGATTGCCTATTTTGCTTATATCACGTTGCATATAAACATAGACAAAAAAACTCCTAGTTTCAAAGATAAAGAAGACATACCTCTTTGATATACAGTTGGATGAAGGATTTGGGAAAGTCAACACATTCTGCAAAATACCTTTCATGGTCCACAGTCATATTAGCTGGAAGATGCCCTTGAAGCCAGTTATAAAGCTCCAAGAGACCTTTCTTTCTAGACAGTAACATTAGGCTTCTAGTACTAGAAAGAAATCAATAAAGCAGAAAGGAATTGGTGAGCAATGCCAACGCGCCTCCCTCCACTAACCGACCTCTCCCTGCATGCGTGTTGACGACGAATTTATCCTTTCCTTTTCTTTACCCCAACCAAGACCACCAGGAATTATAAATCTCTCATTCCCTCTTCATTTGCCTCCCAATTCTCACTCTCTCAACAACAGAAACACAGTTTTCTATCTCTTCCTTTCACTCCACACGAAACGAACCCCTCATTTCTTATGCCTTTCCTTATTTTATGTCACCTTTCCTCCTTCTCACACACTATGTACGTCACCTTTGCTTCTTCGCACCAGCAAGCTTCGTCTGTCTTCATTTGGAAAAAAAGGGACACGACCTGCCCTGGCGCCCAGACCCGCCCAGGCCGCCTAGATCCGCCCAGGCCTCCAAGGCGCCGCCTAGATCCTCCCAGGCGCCTGGGCCCCCCCTAACCCCCTGGTGTCGGTGTCTGTTAAGAAGGTCAATGATTTCCTAATGTTCACATGATGGATCTGGAAACAAATATGTAATTATGTGCTGTAGAATATTTCTTTTCCTATTGTAATTTAGATTCCTAGAATAGCTTAGCATCATTATAGGAAATCTCTTGTATAAAGTTACACCCTCTGACTCAATGAAAATTATTCAGGCAAATATCTTTCTTCCCTATTTTACATGGTATCAGAGCAGGAAGACAAACCCTAGCTCTCTCTTTTTTTGCCGTCTCAATTTTTATTTTCTTTGCCATTGCTTCTCATCATGGAGCGCGAGCAATTTCTCTCTGATCTCCAGTTTCAACAGATATTATCTATTATTAACAATAAAGGGGCAAATCAATCCTCCAATCCTAAGGCCAATGCTGCTGGTACTTCTTCAAATTTGTCACAAGCACCGTTGCGCCTCCGTCGATTAATCCTCGATAGTGGTGCAACCGATCATATTACTTCTTCTCCAAATTTGCTTGTCAACAGTCGTCAGAACACTATTTTACCGCCAGTTATTATGCCCAGTGGAGAACAGGCTCCAATCACATCTACTGGAACTTTACCTTTGAACTCTGTTATTTCTTTGAAAAATGTGCTTGGTGTGCCATCTTTCAAGGTGGATTTGATGTCTGTGAGTCAAGTTACAAGAAGTCTCAATTGTTCTGTAACCTTTTTTCCCTCTTGGTGTATTTTGCAGGACTTGACGACGAAGACGACGATTGGTTTGGGTAAACAACGAGACGGACTTTATTACTTGGTCGCATTGGCGTCAGCAACACCGAGCCCTAAATTCAGATCCTCCGCTGCCATTGCTAGCCATCCATCTTGTTCTCATGTCACCTCCTCCACTGACTTGTGGCACCGCCGATTAGGGCATCTATCTTCCTCTAGATTAGATTTTATGGCAAAAAATTTGCTCAATTTTCCTTTCAAATCCAATAATCCTTGTGATGTTTGTGCACTTGCAAAACAATGTCGACTTCCTTTTTCTGCTAGTTCAATTTCGTCTGTTAGACCGTTTGAGTTAATTCACTGTGATATTTGGGGCCCCTACAAAATTCCTTCTTTTTCTGGTGCTAAATATTTTTTGACAATTGTGGATGATTATTCTCGTTTCACATGGGTATTCTTTATGCAGCACAAAAGTGAAACACAACATTTACTTACAAATTTTTCTCCTTTGTCAAAACTCAATTTGCTGCATCCATTGCTAATATTCGAGTTGATAATGGGGGGAATTCTCTTCTATGAAAGCTTTTTTTCAACAAAATGGCACTACTTACCAACACTCTTGTGTCTATACACCCCAACAAAATGGGGTTGTAGAGCGCAAACATCGTCATATCCTTGAGTCAGCCCGTGCCCTTCGCTTTCAAGCCCATCTCCCTTTGCGTTTTTTGGGCAGAATGTGTTCTCACCGCTGTACATTTGATTAATCGTTTGCCCACACCACTTCTTTCCCAACAAACTCCTTTTGAACGCCTTTATGGCAAGATCCCTTCCTATTCCCATCTTAAGGTTTTCGGGTGTCTTGCCTATGCTACTGATGTGCATGTCCCTCATAAGTTCGCTCCTAGAGCCAAACGTTGTGTTTTCCTTGGTTACCCGGTCGGTCAAAAAGCCTACAAGCTCTATGACCTTACCACTCATAAATTTTTCACTAGTCGTGACATTGTTTTTCATGAAACTATTTTTCCCTATGCGTCCCTTCCATCCCATTCCAACACCTCTAGCCCCCGTCCTTCCTCATTTTGTGTCTGACCCTCCTATTTCTGACTCATTCCCTACGACCTCCACAGCACCATTAGAACCGGTCCATCCCGTCCCTCCCTTAGCAATGACCCAACCCGATTCTCCTTCTGCGTCTCCGCATCCAGCCACCTCCACTTTTGATCAACCCATTCCTATCAGCGTCGTTCAGCCCCCTCCGTCCCTCCATTAGAAATGACCCAGCCAGCTTCTCCTTCTGCGTCTCCGCATCCAGCCACCTCCACTTTTGATCAACCCATTCCTGCCAGCGTCGTTCAGCCCCCTCCCGTACCAGTTTTACGACGTTCTCAACGACATCACAGTCCTCCACGTGCTTTACGTGATTATGTTTGCAACCAAGTAACGTCTCCCAAACCGTCGCCGTCTTCTTCGTCTGGTTCCACCAAAGGTACAAGGTATCCTCTTTGTAACTTTCTCTCTTACCATCGTTACTCACCACAGCATCATTCTTTTGTTGCTACTATTAGTCAGGATGTTGAGCCCAGCTCTTATACCGAAGCAGCTTCCCATTCACACTGGCAGGACGCCATGCAATTTGAATTGGCAGCTTTAGAGGCCAATCACACTTGGTCCCTCACTCCTCTCCCTCATGGCAAGAAACCCATTGGATGTCGCTGGGTTTATAAAATCAAACGTCACTCAGATGGCACCATAGAGCGTTATAAAGCTCGTTTGGTGGCCAAGGGTTACACACAGTTGGAAGGTATCGATTATCATGACACTTTTTCTCCCACTGCTAAAATGATTACTATTCGTTGTTTATTGGCTCTGGCAGCTGCTCAGGATTGGTCCCTTCACCAATTAGATGTCAACAATGCTTTCCTTCATGGTGATCTCCATGAAGAAATTTATATGTCTCCACCTCCTGGTCTTCAGCGACAGGGGGAGAACTTGGTGTGTCGCCTCAACAAGTCGTTGTATGGTTTAAAGCAAGCTTCTCGTCAATGGTTTGCCAAGTTCTCAACAGCTGTTCAAGCTGCCGGATATGTTCAGTCCAAAGCGGACTACTCGTTATTCACATGTCGGAATGGAAAGTCCTTTACCGCTCTGTTGATATATGTTGACGATATTCTTATTACGGGTAATGATCTCAAGGCTATATCCACTCTTAAGCAATTTTTGCATAGTCGTTTCCGAATTAAAGATTTGGGGGATTTGAAATATTTTCTGGGCATTGAAGTCTCTCGATCAAAGAAAGGTATTTCTATTTCACAACGGAAATACACTTTGGAAATTTTGAAGGATGGTGGAATTTTGGGTGCTAAACCTGTGAACTTTCCCATGGAGCAAAACATAAAGCTCTCTGATACAGGTGAATTGCTTAGAGATCCATCTCAATATAGGCGACTTGTGGGACGCCTAATTTATTTAACTATTACTCGGCCTGATATCATGTATTCGGTACATGTATTAAGCCGATTCATGCATGCACCACGTAGACCACATATGGAAGCTGCCTTGCGTGTGTTGCGTTATTTGAAAAGTGCTCCAGGACAGGGTTTGTTTTTCTCTTCTCAAAATGATTTATCTCTGCGAGCTTTTTGTGACTCGGATTGGGCTGGTTGTCCAATGACTCGTAGATCCACTACAGGTTATTGTGTTTTTTTTAGGATCTTCACTTGTTTTCTTGGCGAACAAAGAGGCAGAAAACAGTGTCACTCTCTTCAGCAGAAGCCGAATATAGAGCCATGACAGGTACATGCTGTGAGTTGTCTTGGTTACGTTCATTATTGAAGGATTTACGAATATTGCATCTGAAAACCGGCATTGCTACATTGTGATAACAAAGCAGCCTTACATATAGCAGCCAATCCCGTTTTCCATGAGAGAACCAGGCATATAGAAATGGACTGCCACTTTATTCGGGACAAAATACAGGATGGTTCGGTTGTAACCAAGTTTGTTACTTCGGCAAATCAGCTTGCGGATGTATTCACTAAACCGTTGGGAAAGGAACCCTTTTCTACCATGATTCGCAAGTTGGGAGTTCTCGACATTCACTCTCCAACTTGAGGGGGAGTGTTAAGAAGGTCAATGATTTCCTAATGTTCACATGATGGATCTGGAAACAAATATGTAATTATGTGCTGTAGAATATTTCTTTTCCTATTGTAATTTAGATTCCTAGAATAGCTTAGCATCATTATAGGAAATCTCTTGTATAAAGTTACACCCTCTGACTCAATGAAAATTATTCAGGCAAATATCTTTCTTCCCTATTTTACAGTGTCCTCCCGCCTAGCGCCTAGGCCGATATCTCGAACACTGCTCAAAACCTGGAACGGGCTTGCTCTGTGCCCTAGACGTCCGTAGTGATGAGTTCGAGTCCGATTCGCCAGAATATTTTAAAAAATCGAGTATAGCCGCACGGCTATAATATAATAATAATAAAAAAAGAGAATACCGGTAATACTGGTTTTAAAAAAATTAGTATAGCCAATCGGCTGTACTATTTTTAAAATAAAATTGGGAAAAAACCTAGTGTTGCCGCAAGGAAGTGCTATTTTTAAAATAAATTTGAAGTATAGCCGTGCGGCTATACTATTTTTAAAAAAATATGAACCACCATTCTAACCTTTCTAAGAGAATGGATTCATCTTCATAGGAATCTTTGGATCTGCCATATGAACCACCTTTGGGTACGATTTTTTCTCTTATTGTTCCTTCTTTTTGTGTAAAATTTGAATTTTATAACTATTGGGCACGAATTATAATAATTTGAGAAAATTTTGATAAATCACATCAACATGTCATGTGGATATGTACACAAGCAATAAAATAACTCCTCAAGTGAGTCAGCGAATTACTAAAGTATTTTCTTGATCACAAATTTATTGATTCAATTTAGGACTCCAGACATAAATTTGTTTTGGTGAGACTCCATTAACATAATATTTTAAACTTATTGCCGCACAGCTATACCCTTGAAATATCATAATCTGAATTTCTCTTTTTTAATTACTTTATTTAGTAGTTATGTTTTAATTATTATTTACTTAGTGAATAATTAGTATTTAAGTATTTTATTAAAAATAAAAATAAAAAACCAATTACTATTTATTAAGTAATATATTTATGAAGTTAATTAAAATATTTAATACTAATTATTCACCAAATAAATAATGATTAAAACATAATTACTAATGAAAGTAATTAAATAAGGCTAAGATTTTATTGAATTACTAAAAAATAAAATTGTATTGACCTAAAGATACTCAGTTTATACTTAATATTTAAAAAAACCTCTCCCGATGAACTTTTGTCGGCACGGGTCTATCTCGGTGCAATTTTGCCGGATTAGACCTCTTCCGACGACATTTCGTCGGCATAGGAAACTTTCCTCCGTAGAGGTCTAATCCGGCAAATAGTTGCTAGCATAGACCTATGGTCTTCTTGCTATTTTTTTTTAAAATATAAATTTGTTTCTTTACTTTTATTTTTTGGCCAACTTCTTTAATTTCATATATATGTTATTAAGTAATATCTTTGCCTTTTTTAATTACTTCAATTAGTAATTATATTATTATTTGAATATAGACACTCCGCTATACTGTTTAAATATTCGAATATATTTAGGAAATATGACAAAGGGCACCTAAAAAGATAAGCAATGTCATTATATCACTTCTCATACACATGCAACACACAAACAAGGCATAAATTCTCTCTCAACCCTAAGCACATAGAGGAACAAAGCTAGAATGTAAATACATACTATGTCTAATTGATTCATTATCTCAAGGCTTAGCTTTGCTACAGAGAAATCCATATTTTTATTGTTATATTTAAAGCGTATGGTCACATGGCTATACTGGTAAAATAGAATATTTTAAACGTATAGCCGTGCGGTAGAATATTTTAAACGTATAGCCGCTTGGCTATACTCTATAAGCCATAGACACAATATTTTAAAAGAGAGTATAGCGTGCGGCTATACTCCATAAATTCTCTATTTTAAAAGGGAGTATCGCCGCACAGTTATACTCCGTAAAAAGAATATTTTAGAGTGACTACACTCCATAAATAGAATATTTTAAGAGTATAGCCGCTCGGCTATTCCATTTTTAAAGACGTTCTCACAACAATTCGAGACCCTTCCTTGATATGTAGCTGAAGCGATGAATGTCCAGATCAATCTCAAAGTAGTTAGGACCGTGCATGTGAGAGAGCTTGATAAAGTCAAACAACATGGTTTTTATGTTTACAAATTTATAAATAAATCCAATCCTAGACATGTATTTAAAAAAAAACCCAAGCACTATTTAAACATAGAAACACACCCAAAATTAACAATTGTATATTTTTTGTGTGTGTTTATAAATGGGTTTTGAGTGTGTGTAATGATGGGTTTTTGGTGTGTTTATAAAGTGTTTTGGGTGTTGGGTTTTTTTATAATTTCAGCCCCCATTTTGGGTGTTTTAGTGAAACTCCTTTTTATGTTTCATCTTCTTAACACTCAGCAACATAAATGTTCAATGTTTACCTTGTAAAAATTGTGTCGGGGGCGTGAAAGAACTAGTTTGTCATTATATGCATGTACAAGCTTCTTCTCAGTAGAACTCTGATCGAGATCTTCAGGATTTACCACCTCCGTCAAGATCTTTAGTCTTTCTCTAAAAGGTACAGTGGAGTCCTTTGCGAATCCTTTAACTTTTTCCGTCTCATCGTCAACCATTTTCTAAAAGCATCATTCAAATATAACAACAGACTGAGTGTTCCAATAGAACATAAGATCATTTCCATCAGGGAGAGTACATCAGAATAAAGTACATGCCTATCCAAATGGATGAAGTTTTATACAAAATGAAGTTACCTTGATGTTGTCCTGGAATTGAGGAGAGATGTCTTTATCAAAATTCTCAGAAACTTTGAAATACATTACAAGACTCATCCTCTCTCCATCACTATCACCTAGAAACATTGCAGCAGGATAAGTAGGCAACTGTAACAAGGAGCAGAGCAATATCATTAGATATTGCCAAAATATAACAAACTAAACATAACAAGATAAATCAATTCTGAAAAAATTACATGTATGCTTACAATGAACACTTTCCCATTTGCTTTCACTTTGGGAAGCTCAGGATGCTGGGCAATGTGATGTATCTTTTTGGGGCATACAGACATATCAACACCTATTGGAGTATATGGACTGTAGTTCGGAGCAGTTGACTTTCGTTATTCCTGGTGGTAGACCAACATAAAATAATATTATCATTAGCAAGGCAGAACAGAGTAATTAGTTGCAAATGTCTAAATTCAGTTAAGGTTGGTTTTGACAAAAGAAAAAACCAAAGTCATACTTGAAATAGTTCTCGCCACGAAATTTAAAAGTTGAGGGTGGAATCTCAGACCAAGATCCTGAAGTCGGCTTCTCTACTCTACAACATGGAATGATATATCCTGGTCTAGGCCGATCCAAAAACCTTTTGATTGACCTATGGATATATCATTGAAATGTTCGGTAATATACATGTACATCAATCCCAATATTCTAAGTTTTCTTTCTATTAAAAGAAAATTGAATTATTTGAATGCTTACATTGTTCAATGGTTTCTTCTGCATCACAAGATCTCCTTTTAAAAGAAAGTCTGAAAACGGCTAATGGCTTTCTCTGGGACTGCGGAACCAAACTCTGTGCACTTAGAATCTTATCGTTGAAACTTACAGAAGGTACCAATCGAGATAAGCCTGATTTCAGGGCATTGTCTTGAATTTTTTTCATTAGAATCACGTCCATCCTCTGTAAGTCCTTTAAAGCTTCCATAAGAGTGATCTAATATATTCTTCCTCTTCCTGCAAACTTCATCAGCCTTCCCTAAGTGAGAAAGTGTAAGAGTATCAATGATGATGATATTGCCAAGTGTCAACAAATCAATGAGTAAGCTGTTAGAATGTGGTTAGAGTTGTTAGCAAAGTGAGTAGCCAGCTAAGACTGTAGTTAGGCTGATATAAAGATTGTAATGTGCTCAGTTAGAGCTTAACGAAATACAGAAACCTACAATTCCTTCTCTGAAATTCTCTTTGCTTCTACAGTTTCTTTACTCTGTTTTTCAGTTTCTCTTCATCTTAACATGGTATCATAGCCAAGTTAGCCCACGTGTGAAAGCTCAACGGCCACACATGCTCCATGTCACCCAATATGTGTTGTCTACATGCTAGGCTTGAAAATTTGTCACACGTGCGGGGGTGTGTGAGAATGTAAAGGTAAAGAGTCCCACATTAGAGAGTTAAGAAACCTAGCAAGGGCTATCACCGAAAGAGGGAAATGGGTTTTTCTTTTGAGAATCACATGCCCTTTGTTAAGATAGAATTTCCCAGATTCCGCAATGGGGATGATCCAATTGAATGGATTTACAAGGCAGAGCAACATTTTGATTACTGTTCGGTGCCCTATGAGAAAAAGGTCAAAATGGTTTCTTTCCATCTGGATAGTGAGGCTCTGCAGTGGTATCAATGGGAGGAATGTGCTTCTTCTTTGTCCAAATGGGAAGATTTTACCAGGGCATTTTGCAGAGAATTTGGCTCTCATGGGTTTGAGGATTTTGCAGAGTCGCTCTTTAAGCTTCATCAAACAGGTCCCTTAAAGGATTATATCGTTGAGTTCCGATGCTTGGCAACTCAAATCCGTGATCTTAGTCTGACTTTTCAATTGAGCTGTTTCATTGGTGGATTAAGGGAAGAACTCAACCATGATGTCAAGTTGCTTCGTCCTACTACATTTCATGAGGCCATGAATTTTGCTCATGAAGTGGATGCTAAACTCCAAAAGTTGAGGTATGCACATTCTACTAGAATTTCTAAGATAAGATTGCCTCTTTTACCCATACAAAATGATTTTGTTCCTGCTAAAAATGAAATTTTTCATAGGAAGGATATGCCTGTCAAGAAATTAACCCCTGAAGAAATCCAATATAAACAGCAGAATAATCTTTGTTTTTATTGTGATGAAAAATTTGTGAGGGGTCATAAGTGTTCAAGGAAACAAATCTTGTTGTTGGATATGGGTTATAATAGTTTTGAGGAAAAGGAAATTGTTCATGAATTACAACAAATTGAACAAGTGGCTGAGGTGAATGCTTGTTGTATCACAGCTTGTGCTTTGTATGGCACTTCTGCCCTATTGCTATTAAGACTATGAAACTCACTGCTGTAATTAAGAACTGTCATGTTGTGGTATTGTTAGACTCTGGATGCTCTCATAATTTCATCGATATTGGCATGGTTAAGAAGTTGGGTTGGAAGTTAGATCAGTCTCATATTTATGATGTCATGATAACTAATGGTGGACAAGTTCAGAGTAAAGGTTGTTGTGCTGCGGTTCCTTTAGCCATCGGGACTTATATATATACCTCCGATATGTTTGCTTTGCCATTAGGAGGCTGTGACATTGTGTTAGGGGTTCAATGGTTGAGAACTCTTTGTCCAATCTTGTGGGACTTTGAGAGATTAACTATGAAGTCTCGGCATGGGAATGAGCAAATTTGTTTGTCCAGTTCTAAACCACATCCTTCACAACCTATTTCTTGTCATTAGATGGACAAGTTGTTGCAGTCAGGTTATTATGGTGTGATTCTCTGTGCTGTAGAATGTGAAAATATGGCCAAACCTGCAGATGATTTATCCTCACCACAACAGCATGAATTGCAAGCCTTGTTGGATTCTTTTTCTGTAGTCTTTGGCACCCTAACTACTCTACCTCCTGTGAGAGAACATGATCATCGGATCCCACTGATTTCTGGTTGTAAACCACCAAGCATTAGACCATATGCTTATGGACCACTTCAAAAGTCAAAAATTAAAAATTGTGTCAAAGAGCTGCTGGACTCGGGATTTATAAGGAACAGTCATAGTCCTTTTTCTTCTCCTATTTTGTTGGTCAAGAAAAAGGATAGCACATGGAGAATGTGCATGGATTACAGACAGTTAAACGAGTTAGCTATTAAGGATAAATATCCAATTCCACTTATTGATGATCTGTTGGATGAATTGCATGGGGCAAAGTATTTTTCCAAATTGGACTTGAGGAGTGGCTATCATCATATTAGAGTTCATCCAGAAGATATTGAAAAAATGGCTTTTTGGACTCACGAGGGACATTATGAATTCCTTGTTATGCCCTTTGGTTTGACAAATGCTTCTGCCACATTTCAAGGTTTGATGAATGAGATCTTCCGAAATTGTTTACGGAAGTTTGTCTTGGTATTTTTTGATGATATTCTCGTTTACAATACTTCATGGTCAGATCATTTGAGGCATTTACATACTGTTTTGGAAATTTTGAAGCATCATCAACTTTTTGTCAAGATGTCCAAGTGTGCCTTTGGAGTTTCTACTATTGAATATTTGGGCCACATTGTCTCTAGGCAAGGAGTTTCAGCTGATCCTTCCAAATTAAACATAGTTGCTAATTGGCCTATACCTACTTCTGTTAAAAGTTTGAGAGGATTTTTGGGCCTCACAGGCTATTATCGAAAATTTATTCCTCACTATGGTAGGGAAAGTTTCCCTTTGACTCAGTTAACCAAGAAGGATGGATTTTTGTGGACTCCAGAGGCTACTACTGCCTTTCACAAACTCAAGGAACTCATGTTATCTCCCAAGTTTCTCGCCTTGCTGGATTTTACAAAACCTTTATCATTGAGAGTGATGCTTTTGGATCTAGTATAGGAGCTGTGTTACAATAGGAAGACAAGCCTATTGCTTTTACCGGCAAGACTCTTGGTCCTATAAACCAAGCCCTTTCCACTTACGAGAGGGAAATTATGGCAATTGTTCATGCCATCAAGAAGTGGCATCATTACTTACAAGGAAGACACTTTATCATTAAGACAAATCACCATAGTCTTAAATATTTCTCAATCATAAGGCTCACACTCCTTTTCAGCAAAAATGGGTCACCAAGCTTTTGGGCTATGATCATGAGATACACTATAGGCAAGGGAGTGATAATAAAGCAGCTGATGCTTTGTCTAGATTTCCTATCATTCACAGCTCTTCTACTGACCAAGTTCAAGTCTTTGCCATGGACAACTTGCCCATTAGAACTAATGTTTATGGGCAGTATATTGAGAATTTGGCAATTACATATCCTTATCACAGTTGGATGGATGATTTACGACGGTACAATGAGGGTGATCCTTAGATTCTTAGTAAAAAAACCAAGTTCTAGATGTCGCTAGTCCTACACAATCACCTCATGCACCATCTCTTTTTACAACAAATCATTTACTCAAGTTTCACATTGACAGTGGTATCCTTAAATATAACTCCAGAATAGTCCTCAATCCTAATTCGGTTTGGGGGACCAAAGTTTTGGCTGCTCATCACTCAGTTCCTCTGGCTGGTCATGCGGGTTTCTTGAAGGCTTTCTCGGAGTTTTTATTGGCCAAGTATGAAACACGATGTGTAGAAAATGGTAGCTGAATGTCACACCTGTCAACAACACAAGTATGAAATTGTGACTCCTGCTAGATTATTGCAACCCCTACCTATACCAGATAAGGTGTGGACTGATATTTCCATGGATTTTATTGTTGGATTACCCCTTTGCCAAGGGAAATCTGTCATTTTTGTAGTAGTTGATCATCTGAGCAAGTATGCCCATTTCATTGCTTTATCCCATCCTTATTCTGTTAGAATTCTTAGTTTCAGCATTTCATATTTTGGATATTTTGGGAGCAAAGAAGAAATCACGGAAAGATTGAGAGAACGTTGCTCTGGAGAATGAAAAATGCTTCGATATATTCATATCTGCTCCACTATTTTGGTTATAATCGTTAGACAGAGAGAGAGAAGAGAGATTCTTCCCTGTACCAGATTTACAATAAGCCCAAGTTCTAGCATCCTATTAGATGCTTACACATGTCACTTAATCCTATACTAGAGATTAAACACTTGGACTGTGATCCAAGGGTGCACAATAAAACTGGAAAAAAAAAAAGATAAACAACTAAAAGAAATGAAAAACAGAATAGACGCAATTCCTTTAGCTCCAAAACTCGGCTGAAGGATTACACACCAACATTCCCTTCTAATCCTTTAGCCGACTTAACACCAAGTAATTCCCTTAAGTATGCAAACCTGTCCTTAGGCAAAGCTTTAGTCAGAATATCTGCAATTTGCTCCTCAGTTCTGCAGTAGACAAGTTCTATCTCCTTGGCTTGAATTGCTTCTCGAATGAAATGAAACTTTCTGTTAATGTGCCTTGACTTCTGGTGGAAAACAGGGTTCTTTGCCATAGCAATTGCTGATGTGTTATCACACATTATCTGTGTTCCTTCAATCTGTTCTTCTCCAAAATCTTCAAGTACAAATCTCAGCCACTTTGCTTGAGAAGTAGCTTCTGCAGCACTGACATATTCTGCTTCTGCAGTGGACAGTGCCACTGTGTTTTGCTTAATCGATGCCCATGAAAACACACCAGATCCTAGAGTAAATGCATACCCTGAAGTGCTCCTCATATCATCTTCACTTCCTGCCCAGTCACTATCACAATAGCCAATAAGAGTAGTTTCTTTTCCTTTCTCAAATACAATTCCAAAGTCTATTGTTCCTTGAATGTATCTCAATACCCTTTTAGCAGTTCCCATGTGTTTCTTGGTGGGATTGTGCATGAATCTTGCCAAGAGGCTAGCTGCAAACATTATGTCAGGCCTAGTTGCAGTCAAGTAGAGCAAACTGCCCACAATTTGTCTATATTCTCCTTCATCTGCAGCCTCACTTCCATCATTCTTACTTAACCTCTCATTCATTGCAAGTGGTGTAGCCACTATTTTGCAATCTTTCAAACCAAATTTTTCAACCAGCTTCTGTCCATACTTCCTCTGATGCAAGAAAATGTTTTGTTTAGACTGTATCACCCCCATTCCAAGAAAATGGTGTAATACTCCCAAATCTGTCATCTCATAGTGTTCCATCATATCTCTCCTAAACTCTTCAATCATTTGAGAGCTGCTACCTGTGTACACTATGTCATCAACATATAGAGAAACAATAAGAACATCTGAACCTTCTGCCTTAACATATAAAGTTGCCTCACTTGGACTTTTCTTGAAACCAGCCTTGTTGAAATAGGCATCAATCTCGTCATACCAAGCTCTTGGTGCTTGCTTCAAACCATACAAAGCTTTGTGTAACTTGTATACCTTTGTTTCCTCATCCTTCTTTACAAATCCTTGTGGCTGATCCACATATACTTCCTCCTTTAAAACTCCATTAAGAAATGCAGATTTCACATCTAGTTGATACAAGCTCCATTCCTTCTGTGCAGCAAGAGCAATCAAGGTCCTAATGGTGTCTAGCCTTGCCACAGGGGCAAAAGTCTCATTGTAATCAATACCGGGCTTTTGTGAGTAGCCTTTAGCCACTAAACGAGCCTTGTTTTTCTGCACAGTACCATCTAGATTCAGTTTAGTCTTGTAGACCCACTTAACACCAATCACAGGTTTAGCAAATGGTCTCTCGACAAGTTTCCAAGTGTCATTTTTTTCTATCATTTCCAGTTCAGCTTCCATTGCCTTTCTCCATGACTCATCTTGAGCTGCATCTTCATAATTTTCAGGTTCGACAATACACACATTACACTTAGCCATGATTTCATTTACACTTCTCCATTTCTTTGGTGTGTGATCAAAGAAATGAGAACTTTCACCTATGCCTTCATCTTGCAGAGTAGTATCTTCATCTATTTGAGTTTGTGTATCCAAGCTTTGACTTGGTTCAGCTTGTAATGTGACTTCTTCATCCATTTGCAGTGGTGTATCCAAGCTTTGACTTGGTTCACAACTTTGATTTTCAGTAGGCATAGGTACTGTCATCTCTCCTTCAGTTGTATTCACCCACTGCCATGTGGCATTTTCATCAAATGTAACATCTCTAGACAGAATTACCTTCCTAGTACTTGGATCAAACAGCCTATATCCCTTTTCACAGAGACCATAGCCTACAAAAATACACTTGTGACTGTTTTCTTCAAGCTTATGCCTCAATGCTGAAGGAATAAGCACATGACAAGGAGATCCGAATATTTTTAAATGTGCAATTCCTGGTTTTCTGCCAGTATAAGCTTCAAATGGTGTTACCTTGTTGAGAGCCTTGGTAGGACATCTATTCAGCAAATAGACTGCTGTATTTATAGCTTCTGCCCAAAACTCATAGGGGACACCTTTCTCATGCAACATTGATTTAGCCATTTCAACCACAGTTCGATTCTTCCTCTCAGCTACTCCATTCTGCTGAGGGGAGTATGCCACTGTTAATTGCCTTTGAATGCCAGATTCTTCACAAAACCTGTTAAATTCTCCTGACAAGAATTCTCCACCCCTGTCACTTCTTAAACTCTTTATCTTGAACCCACTTTGCAGCTCAGTCATAGCCTTGAATTTCATAAAACATTCCAATGCACTTGATTTGTTTCTAATGAAATATACCCAAGACATTCTAGTATAGTCATCTGTAAACAATAGAAAATACCTGTTTCCAGATAGCGATTCTGTTTTCATTGGTCCACAGATGTCTGTGTGAACCAATTCCAAAGGGTTTGAAGCTCTCCAAGTGGATTCCAAAGGGAAAGAATCCCTATGCTGTTTTCCTTGCATACAACCATCACACACCACTGACATCTGCTCCAAGTGAGGTAAGCCATGAACCATCCCTTGATTCTCAAGCAGTTTCATACTTCTTTCATTTAAATGTCCCAGCCTCTTATGCCATGTCTGCAAGCAATGTGTGACACTTGCTTTTAGGACCAACTCACTCGCAGGCATCATTGTCAATGGAAAGCATCTGTTGTTTGTCATTTGCACCTTCACAATCAGATTTTCTAGTGACTAATTATCATAAACACTCACCACATTTCCTCCAAACATAAGGTGATAGCCATGTTCCATCATTTGCCCAACACTAAGCAAATTTTCTTTAAGACCAGGTACAAGCATTACTTCATGAATGTGCTTCTTACCTAACTTGGTTTTTATCACCAAAGTCCTTTTTCCAGCAACTGGAACCACTTCTCCAGTTCCCATCTTCACCTTAGAGGTCAAATCCCTTTGAATATTTACTAAAAGTCCTTCATCTCCTGTCATGTGGTTACTACACCCACTGTCAATGTACCAAGAGTGATTTACTTTTACATCTGTTGCAGCATTACAAACATAGAACAAAGTACCAAAATCTTCCACCTGATTTGCATAATTCACTCTCTGCACATTCTTGTGTCCATTGCAATCTCTGATCATGTGTCCAGGCTTCCCACAACCATGGCATTTAGGCTTCCCTTCATACCAACATTTGCCATAATGAAATTTGTCACAATGTTTGCAGGCCATTTTGTTTCCATCGTTGGATTTCCAATTTTTCTGAGATATTTGATCTGCAGAAGCAATTCCATTTTCAAGGTTTTTCCTACCAACATTCAGACTAGTGAAGGCCTTTTCTGTAGAATTCTCAGTGTGTCTATCCAATCTGAGCTCAAAGCTCTTCAGTGAAGCAACAACCTCTTGAACCTCAAGAGTTTCAAGGTCCTTAGAGTGTTCAATTACAGAGAAGATAGAATCATAAGATTTAGGCAAACTAAACAATAGTTTCTGGACAATTCTCTCTCTAGATAGTTCCTCACCATAACTCTTCATATGATTTATTATATCAAACAACCTAACCAGATATACAGATAAAGATTCACTATCCTTCATGCGGGTATATTCAAATTCCCTACGCAACCCTTGCAATTTTACATTTCTTACCTGTTTATCTCCTCTGAATTCCAACTTCAGAATATCCCAAGCACCCTTTGAGGTCTCCTCGTTCACTATTCTGGGAAAGAGCTGATCGGAGACAGCACTTTGGATTAACCCGAGTGCACGAGCATCCTTCATCAATATTCCAGCCATCGTAGACTTCTCAGTAGCCTTCGTACCTTCTATCTCCTTCTCCTCCTTCTCAGTAACCTTCGTCTCTTCAATCTCCTTCTCCTTCTTTAGATCTGAAACATTGAGACAATTTTCAACTAGATCCCATAAACCATGAGATTTCATAATAGTTTTCATTCTGATACTCCAGAACTCATAATTTTCTCCATTGAAAATTGGAGTTCGCAGCTCAGAGGTACTCGATCCTGCCATATTAGACATTGGATTTGAGAAATCGCGATCTTCAGATGAGCTCAAGTTTAGCTCAAACAAAACCCAATTTCTCCGATTCACTCACAGATTCACGCCCAGCTCAAGCAATCGAACCTGGCTCTGATACCATGTTAGAATTCTTAGTTTCAGCATTTCATATTTTGGATATTTTGGGAGCAAAGAAGAAATCACGGAAAGATTGAGAGAACGTTGCTCTGGAGAATGAAAAATGCTTCGATATATTCATATCTGCTCCACTATTTTGGTTATAATCGTTAGACAGAGAGAGAGAAGAGAGATTCTTCCCTGTACCAGATTTACAATAAGCCCAAGTTCTAGCATCCTATTAGATGCTTACACATGTCACTTAATCCTATACTAGAGATTAAACACTTGGACTGTGATCCAAGGGTGCACAATAAAACTGGAAAAAAAAAGATAAACAACTAAAGAAATGAAAAACAGAATAGACGCAATTCCTTTAGCTCCAAAACTCGGCTGAAGGATTACACACCAACATATTCAGCTGCTACATACCATTGCTCAGCTCTTTGTGGACCATGTGTTTAAGTTACATGGTGTGCCTAGCTCCATTGTTTGTGACAGGGATCCAATATTTGTTAGTGACTTCTGGAAAGAATTCTTCAAATTGCATGATGTAGTCTTACGAACGAGCTTCGGTTACCATCCACAGACTGATGGCGAAACTGAAGTGGTTAATTGGTGTTTGGAGACCTATTTGAGGTGCTTCGTTGCAGCTCAACCCAAAAAATGGTTGCTTTTGTTATCTTGGGCAGAATTTAGATATAATACAGCCTATCATACATCAACCAAGTTAACCCCATTTGAAGTTGTTTATGGTCAGCCCCCACCCACGGTTACACCATATGAGCCAAGCACTACAAGATTTGCCAATGTTGACAGAAGCTTGGCTGCCAGAGACAGAATGTTGACTTTGTTGAAATCTAATCTCCTTATGGCACAAAACCGAATGAAGACTCAAGCTGATAAACATCGCTCTGAAAGGGAATTTCAAGTTGGGGATATGGTGTGTTTGCGATTGGTACCTTACTAGTTACAGTCTTTGGCTGCTCACTCATACCATAAAATTTTGCCCAAATTTTATGGACCTTACAAACTCCAATTGCCTACTGGTTGTAAGATCCACTTCGTATTTCATGTGTCTTGTTTGAAGAAGCATTTGGGAACTCACGTGACTCTTTCATTAACATTACCTTGAATTACTGAAGATGGTATTGTGCAAAATGAGCCACTGGCTATTTTGGAAAGGAAGTTAGTCAAACGTGGTAATGCTGCAGGGGTGGATGTCTTAGTGCATTGGAAGGGTCACACACTAGAGGATGCCACATGGGAGGACTACCATGACCTCAAGGCCAGATTTCTAGATTTCATTGCCCAGGTTGAAGCTGCTTTCAATTCCAGATGAATCATGTTGCATTTTCTGTAGCACCTCTGTTTTTGTTCTAATAAGTTTTCAATGCTTGTAAACTTAGCTTCAAAGGAAGGGTTGTTGGGGAATTTGTTACAATTACTGTTGTATCATCAATGGTGGATTTATTACCAATTGGGGAGCCATTGTAAGTCTTGTTGAGAAATATACAGAAAATATTCTTTGGGTTCTCTATGTTCTTGGTTAATGTTTAAGGTTGAAAGATAGAGTCCTATAAGAATTGATCGATTTGCTGCCTAGGTAATTCGATTTTCGAATCAAAATTTGGCTGGTTTTTGGATTGAAATTCCAGCCACTTCCGGCCATTTTTTGGGGTATGTCAAAGAACAAAAGTGTCTCCAAATGAGATTTTACACCTAGGGTAGGAATCTTGGCCGACGATTTGGAGTATTTTTGGCCACCGAAAATTGATCTACACACCCACGCATTGCCGGCGTGTGTGGCTGTGAGTGGGCACTATAACAAAGGGGCGTTGTGTCCCAATGCGATCCCCTAGTTGTCACTCGGATTCCAATTCGGATACTGTTTGAGCCTCGAATGGATTTTGCATATTGTGCGATTTCGGGGTTCGATAGGTTTGGACCGTTGGATCGAACTCAAACTCACGTATGTCGTACCTCATATTTTTAGGATCGTATAGGATTCGACGGATCATAAATCGGAGTCCCGGATACTTTGAAATCGCGAACCCTAGGGTTAAATAACCGTAACTGTCCGATCGTACGATCGTGATCAATCCAATCGTCCGATTCGGACCAAACTCGCAGGACGTGGTTATTAAAATGTGTAGAATCTATATGAACTCTCGGATTGACATTTGGAGGTCATGGACCCCACGGGGTCCCGGGTTGACTAGTATGGAAATTTATCGCTTATCGAGTCTCGGCTCTTTTCATACCATTCTAACCATCTGAAATGCTTAATTGAGTATAGGAATGATCTTAAATTTGGTGCACGCACTCTTAGGAGACGAGGGTCAGGGTTTTGGGATTAAATATTTATGTTGAGTATTTTTATTGATTAAATATTTATGATGGCTTAAATAGGTACTCGGGCACCAACTGACTCGCAAGAGGGACCTTTGAAAGGACCAGCTAGCTCGAACACTCAACGAGTGGACTTTTGTTTTTTAAATGATTTTGTGCAAATGAATTTCATTATTTGATCTTGCATAAGTTATTATTGACTATAGCTTTCCAAGCATGTTTAATTGGATTTAAATATTTTATTTATATGCTGCTATGTTGGAAATGAGAAAAGGCTTGGAAAGTAGGAAATGAGGTGATTACCGGATTGAATGGTTTGATGAGAAATAAAATTATGGTTTTCATGAATGGCAACAAGACATAAGAATAGAATGAGGAATAGTTTTATAATTATTTTTATAATCTTTAATCTTTTTCAAAAAAATTTATTTATTTTTTTTAAAATCCAACATGGATACCCAAGGTTGCCTTCGGAATAGATGTTGCCTTCAGAATAAAAGTTTCCTTTGGATAAATTGGTTGCCTTCGGATATGATGATGTTCACAGACATCCTAGTTGCCTTCAGTTTTGTCAACACGCTTGACATTTACCCCACAAGTTTAGGGGACACCCGGACCGTGAGAGCGAGGAATGCGGATCAAGTTGACCAAATGTCTCCTGAGTCCAACAATGATTGCGGCTCGGGTGACCTTGTGTTTCCTGAGGCTTGTGAGGACGTGTCTCTTCTGTGGCACGAGGAATTGACGAAAAATAAAGGAATTGACAAATAAATATGGGAATTGATGGAAATAAAATGGGTATACCTAGGTGGTGGAGAAATATTTGTTTTTCAATATTTAAACTTTTTGATGATTTTTGTGAGTTTGTGAATGATTATATAAATATAAATATGCATGTTTGTCTTCTGTACGAATATAGTATGCATAATGGGTTTTCTAACCCTTTTTACAGTGGGGTTAGTATGTTCATATGCTATTTTCTAAAACTTTATTTTTGTTCACTCACATTTTTGAATGTTTTGAGCCCCCATGCAATAGACGTGAGTTTCCACACTCCGCACCACTCACTCGCTTATGTAGGATTTCTTTTGAAATCATATTATGCTGTTGTAAATTCTTGAATTAGTTGCTCTGATGAATTGCCCTAGGACTTTCTGTATGGCCTAAGGCCGTTTAGTTTAGTAGAACTATTTAGATGTAAATTGAATGCATGCTGGCAGTTGGGATATGTATATATATGCTTTTGACAGGTTGAAATGTTGGGGAATGATACAATTATAAGGGAGACTTAGCCGAATTTTCGTCAGAGGTCAAACTTGTAATAAACTTGAATTTTAACTAGAAGCGAAATTTAGTCATTATGCCCAGCACTCGCTACGTGTTGGACACGCACAGGGCTCGGCTCGGATTCCAAAATGGAATTTGGGTCGGGTCCTGTCGCATTTACCGACGAACTTTCATCGGAAGTATTTTAAAAATATATATATATATATATATATAAACTTAGTATGTTTAGGTTAATTAATTTTTTTAATTTTATTTTTAGTAATTATTTTGACACGTGGCTATACTTATTTTGACACGTGGCTATACTTATTTTTACGTGTATACATAGTATAGCCGCACGGCTATACTCATTGTTTTCTTAATTTTTTTTTTTCAGAAATGCAATTACTTGGTTAATTTATCAAATTTTAGATTTATTTTTTTATTTTTTATTTGCTACCACTTAGCCGGTCAACTCGACATGACCCGAAACCCGCACAGGAAATAAATTGGTCAACTCGAAAATGACACGTTTATTAAACGGGTTGGATTTGGGTTTAGCATTCTTGACACGTATATAATATTGACACGACACGACCCATTACCAACCCTAGCTAAGACAATCATTGTGCAATCATTCCATGACCTACACAAGTATTTGGAGGGGTACGAGATGGAACGACAACAATGCGGATGTTACTGATAAAGAGTAAACGCACATAAAAAAAAGTGGCTTACTTTCTAATGTGTGGGTTGCTCCAAAAAATGAGTACGTATTTATCCAATACCCTTGTATTCAATATGAATTAATGATGTCAAGAGAGCTATATAGCCGTTGTCCTAAAACTTTGACCAAAACACATGGTTTTAGGAAGACGTCTATGGCTTTAGGACAACGACTACGTGCCTCTCTTGACATTACATGCCAGATATTCCTAACCTTTTTCATACGTATTTATTGTATTAGTTATTGTGTATAATTGATGTGTTTTGGGTATAATTTATTTAATTGATTTTATATGAATATTATGAGTATAATTATTGAATTTTTCCAACAATCAAAATCCGTATATTGCATCTCTTTAGTTGCAGAAAAAACTTTGTGAGATTATCTGTTTGTGTTTGCATTTGCTTCTATGTACATGAATCAGAGTCAATTGAATATCTCATTGTCGAAATAATGTCGCTTAATTGAAATTACAGTTTACATATAGAACTATATTGAATAAACTTGACCGAAAATGTCGTGTTATTGGTTGGTTGCATCCTTAGTACAGTAAAATTGCATGTCTATGATGTGTTTGATTATTGAAACGTGTCTACAATTTTATTAGACACCACGTGTTTGTTTTTACGATGTGTAAGATATTTTGGCAAGTTTCCTTAATTTATTGTAATATTATAGACTTTTTGTCATACGAAGATATTTTCTCTGCTAGAATCTCCTTCACATTTAATATAAGATTGCCACATCAATAAAATACAACACAAGGGTTAGAGAACTAACATTCATCAACTAACTGGAAAAAAGAAAAAGAAAAAGTATTAACTCCTCCGAAATCAAAACCCCCTCAAAGATCCCATTTTATTTCTATGGAACTATGGCCACGATGAAATCTGATGGCTTTTCATTCTGCTTCCTAACTAAAAATCAAAATCTCTTTTTTCCCCCCTCGTTTGACGGGCTTTTGTTTCAGATATGTTAGTCTTCTAAGAATGATAATAAAACATGGACAATATTTCCCTCCTTGTCTGTAAGGAAGTACTCCTCCATACCTTTTATTATGATTCAACCACAAAGTAACATGTGTCCTCTCTTTTTTAAAGAGCGGGTCTTGAATCCAAAAATGATTGAGTTGGGTAGGGTTGGTGGGGTTTGGTTGACCTAATAATAAACAGGTCTTAAACCTAAAATTATAAACCGCTATGGATCAGTTGAGTTACAAATTAGGATCAAAACCAACCCAACTCAATCTGTGCCCACCCCTAAGCAACAACTACTTTCCTACGAGAAAAATAAAAGAAAGGAATTCCAACGATTTGGTTGTTCAATTGAAAGCGTACCACAAGGTGTCAAGGGGGATACCCTTAAAAAATATAAGAGGAATGCAAAACTAATGTGCCAAAAGTTAACAAAAAGCTGGGCAATATTTTAGCTTAGCATCTGACATTGTGGTCCTTAAACACCGTTCACCTTTTTTTTCATAACAAAGAAAACAAAGGAAAGCAAAACGCAAAAGATCACTCTAATAGCCTAAATCTTTAGCTGTAGTCTAACAAGAGTCTTGGTAATCCCGATCATTGTCATGGTCGTACTTGTTGTGACTGTTTGCGTATAATGGGCTGTGCCTGTCGTGGCTGTTCGTGTATAATGGGCTGTGCTTGTCGTGGCTGTTCGTGTATAATGAGCTGTGCTTGTCATGGCTGTTCACGTATAATGTTACGCTCATCCCAGATTCGGCAGGAACATGTTGCTTTCTTGTTCTTCCACTCAGCTCCACAAGTATAACAAAACTCATAACCACATCTACAAAGACAATACAAGCATATAGACAAACCACAAGGATCGGTATACGAAAAAAACAGCAGCACCCAGAAAAGAACAATCAAAACTAGTTCTTTTTGTGGGTAAAAGAATAGAAAAGGTGGTCTGCAACTAGTGAAGGCAATACACCAATGCCATAACTATCTGAGGGGGCAGTGTAAGGCCCTACCATGATATCTATTTATAGATGACTAGGATCTCATCCAATGTTTGCTAACAAAAGCATAAAAGAGAACGCCAATTAGATCAGCATGCAAAGATCGACTCTTTTGGTGGTTTGATGGCCCATTGGCAATGTTGTTTTCAATCATAAGAACTCAGAGGAACTTGAGACCCAACACTATACTTAGCCATATCCACTCTTGTACTCAACTTTCTACCAATTAGATCATATTGAGTTCACTAGCGGTATATTTTGTTTTATCTTTTGCTAGTTTCATCCCTCTCAAAAAATTGCTAATTTGATCTAAAGATGACAAAATCAACAGAACAATGACCAAATAACAAGTCAACTAGGATGGAGGAGTGGGGAGTAATACCTGCAAGTTATGTGGTAACAACCTTCGGCAAGTTCAACCATATGGTTGCACTTTATGCACTGACGCCATAGTTTCTTTGTAGCCAGCGAGTTGAGCAATTGGTCTTCTGGGTGGGGATAGGGATTTGATCTTTTATAATCATAGCAGGTCATATTGAAGTGCCAAGGGACCATGCAATTGATACAAAAATAGTAATGACATTTCATGCATCTCCTGGCTCCAGTTTGCTCAGCATGGACAAAAGTAGTTTTGGTATATTCTAAGACCTCCTTTTTAGACATTAATGCAGAACACCTGGGATTTGGGCAATAAACTTTGTCTGTAACCGGAATAGAAGATTCCTTGATTCTTTGGCTTATGGCCTCAACTAGTTTAGGTGCCAAGAATTTTGCACAGCTATCAATATTCACCTCATTTTTACAGCCTTCATGAGGGCACTCTGCCCCCATCCCATTAAGAAACTTTACTTCCACATGCTGTTTCATACAAGAACAGCAATACCTGTGCAGACAGCCATCGATTGAAAAAATTTCCGCAACATCAGTTTCTTCAAAGCAAATTACACAAGTCTCCTTCAAACTCTTTCCATTGCTAGAGTCTGCACGCCAGGTGATCTGAGAAACTATAGCCTCTCTTGCAACTTTAAGTGCAAACTTAATGTCAGTACGTGCTACAAGAGAAGGGCTGCAATATTCAAATTTTCTTTGTAGAAGAGCCACTTGATTGACTAATGTTGCAACCTTGCTGTTTCCAGGACGCACTCTGTTTGTGACCTGTATTTATAAGATGTCAATCATCTACATGAGTGGCACCAAATGGAATTTTCTGTTATGCCCCCATATTATATTTTATAAACATGAATAGTGATGAGAGCAGCAAACTTGTAAAGACATGAATTATACTATCAATAAGGAGAAAAATAAATGGAAAATAACAGAATTTGGGTTATCTGGATACAGTTTGAATTCTTCGGAATAGAAAAAAAAAAATACATATTTATCCTGTAAAACCAACAAAGTTTGACAGAACACATCACCAAAAAATAATTAACAAATTTCTAACAGCAACAAAATAGTATAACTGCATGACCGAATCGTTGCTGAACCCGAAATTTGAAACTCTAACACATTAATACCACTAATTGGCTTTGTCACACAAATGCAGCAAGCTCAGCAAATGTTTTAACTCAACAGACTGAAAGAAGGAGAGGTCTAACAAGATAACTGTTAATTCTCCCAAATACCAAGTTGTTTGGGATTATTCCTTGCAGCTTCTGCACAAAGCTAAATTAACACTCCAAAACACCGTCACAAATGACATGACATAGACTTGTTAGATTGCACTTCAACCAATTAACCCAACACAAACACTGAACCAAAAACCAATACAGCAACTCACTCATATTGATGTTTAGTAATTGGCTTTCACACTTTACATAGTTGCCCACAATCTTCCTGCTCAATCTCCGATAATGTTCTCCTAAACAAACCCACATATAGTAAGCCCCAAAATTTCTATCCCACTTCCAAAATGGTCAAATGCACAATCTTTTTCTTTTCCTCTGTTTCAGAATATACCCAATAGCTCATACAGCCAAAGATTTCAAATTTGCAATGCAACAAACAATGCACACCAGTCAACAGTCAACTCTACTACCATTAACATAAACACAAACTACCACCCAATTAAAAAATGAATTTGAGAATAAAAGAAGACCGATAAAAGCGAGTGTTTAACGCTAAAACTCACATATTGGTAAAGCATGTAGTCATCACAGTAAAAGGTCACAGATTTCAAGTCCATGGTGAGAGCTTTGTTAAGCCCCTCAATGATGGCCTCAAGCTCCGAAGCCTCATTGCTCAGCACCACACCATCAACCACCGCCTCCAAATTCTTCCTCGCCTCGAATATCAGATTGTCTCTCGGGTCACAAATCGCGATACCAGCCCCAGCCACCACCACCTTCATATCCCTAACTCTCTCCTCGCTCACCAAACCTTTGCAATACAACCTCAAATTCTCAGTCTCCACCCCTGCAGCTTTAGTCGACGATGACGAAGACGATTCGTCCGCACAGTACGGACGCTCGTAATAGTCACCGTGCTTGTCCCAGTAGTCCTCAGGCACGTCGCGGAGGTCGGCGGCGAACTTCTGATCGTGAATTCGACGGTTGAGATCTTCCTTCGTCTTCATCATCTCCGAAACGGTGCGCTCGTGGTCCTCCCACTCCTGCGCGAATCGCTCGACGTCCTCGAGCATGAGCTTGGCGGCGAGGTCTAAAATGGCGTCGTTCAAGGCGTCGTGAGGCGGCGAAGGAGGTGGAGAGTTGCGCGAACTCGAACTCGAGGCCAACGAGGGATTGAGAGTGAGAGAGGCGGCCATGGCCTCCTGCATTTGGAGCTTGAAGGCCATGTCGAGGTCGGAGTCTAGGGTTTTGGCGGCCATAAGGTCTCTGCGTTGCTCGGAGAGAATGGTGTCGAGGTCGTCTGGGTCAGTACGATCATCCATGAAAATGGTGAACAAAAATACTTCGCAAAAGCCTACGGAAAAGGAGTGGAGACTTGTTAGAGAAGGAAGAGACCAAGGAAACAGAGGGTTTTGGAAATTGATGAGAGTCCGTGTCTTCTGAACATACTTTGACGAATTTTGACCATAAAGCAGCACTTTTCAAACAGAGGGAATTTTATTTATTTTTTAGTCAAAAGAAACAAAACATTATAAAGGAGGGATCTTAACGCCATATAAATCACAACGTAACTTATGTAAAATATCATTGACCCAAAAAACAAACCTATGTAAAATATCTCTTGGAAAATTTCCAAACCAAACACACATATGTGAAGAAGTTTGGTTGTGTTTAATCATAATATCTGCTACTTGATTTGATTCACGATAGACATGTTGTATCCAAACTTTATTAAAGTTATTAAGCAATTAACATACATCGTAAATAATACGCACATTCCAACGAGTTGAGATTTGATTATTAAAGAGTATGAGTGATGCTAAACGAACTCTAAAATTAACTGAGTACACCTTACTGCCAATTTATTAATTGAATTACAAATTTACCCTAATATAAAATAACCAAAAAAAATTTATTGAATCTGAAAACTTGATCAAAATTTTATTAAAGTCCTTAAGCAACTGACATATATTGTGAATAATAATACGCACATTTCAACGAGTTGAGATTTAATTATTAAATATGAGTGCTGCTAAACGAACCCTAAAATTAACCAAGTACACCATACTGCTAGCAATTCCGTGTTTGGTGGGTAATCTGTAAATTTCTTGGTAAATTCGAAAAGGTCTAGGGTTTGCCCTGACCTTGGGTGTGGGAGTAGCTTTTCCCTCCCCTAAACTTTTTTAAACAAAAAAAAGAAAAAGGATATATTGAATGAAACAAATATAATTTTAATAAGTACACCCTACTCATCATATTCAACCCTAATCAAACGTAAAGAAGTTTTTATATTGCTTGGTGCCCACAACAAACAACGCAGCGGGCACTAGCAGAGGCGCAAGAAGGTGTCATTGAATGTTCATTCAACATTCACTCACTTGGTGAAGCAAAGCAAAAGTTAACGATAGAGAATATCTAATCATCTAATAATACGAAGATCATGCGTTGAACTTGAATTCATTCTTGTGTTGAATTATTGTCTTGCCTTCAAACTGGAAGAGGCTATCTCTATATTCTTGCGGCAGACCACAAGGTGAAGAACTCACTCACGCCACTGCTCTGCTCTCTTCTCTTTTTCCTTCTAGTTTTTGAAGGTTTTTTTCATGTTTTTTTCATGCATTCAAATTAGAAGTTGAAAAGTACATAATAACTACGTTGTTTGTGATGTTGAGAGTTGTCTGATTCACTTGTGTATTGAGATGAAACTAATTAGAAAGTCCAACTTAAGTATTTTCTTCACAATAGCTAATGTTCCTAAGTTTCATCTTATATTTGGTCTCTCTTTATTATTATTATTATTTACTCTTCTTTTTTTTTTGTGCATGAGCGGGGGTAGATTACATATTTGATTTCATTCTTGCTGGAGCTTAGTTTGCGTGTTTATGTGTAGGGTGTTGTGTGATAGTGTATTAAGATGAATAATGGTATTTTTTGTAGTTAAATAAGGTGTATTTAGTTAATTTTATATTTTGATTAAAATATTAGGGCATACTCAATTACTTTTTGGGTTTAGAGTTTATGTTGTATTTAAAACTTTACGGTATTTTTAGATGAAGAAATTTAAAAGTACATCATTTCTAGCTTAGATAATTAGTCAATTCAAAACCACTAACCAATTCTAACCGGAGACCAAAGAAATTTACTGGTTCATATATGGCAAGTACTTTTCTACCAGAAAAAAACAGAGAGTATTATTGCTCACCACTTTAACCCAAGGTGTACCCTCATTAGTGTCACCACCCTTTCCAAAAACGTGATACATGTCTATGAATTTAACTATAGTTACTCTTTATTTTTTATTTATTTGATGACATTATTATGAGAGAGAAACAATGTTTTAATAAGATTTTTCGTGATTTAGCCTTATTCTATTCATTAACTCAACAAACTTTCTACTTTCTTGATTAATTTAATTTAAAAAATAAATCAAAACAATGGAAATTGAAAAGGTAGCGTTGTCGCTGTGAACTTTTGCGTGCAGCCTTCTCTGCTTCTTTTGCATCCTTTGGCAGCCTTGGTTGATTGACAGCTACTGTGAACTGATGAGAAACATTGATCGTTGCACCCTCGCGTATGTGTATAGAGAGAGAAGAATGGAGTTGCTGACTGTCTTGTCAGTTTTGTTTTGTTTTTCTTTTTTTTTGTTAAGTGATCAAATTATTTGATTTAGTTAGATTAATTCGCATTAAAGCCTCCTATTAATCACAAGATTAAAGCCTCCTATTAATCACAGGATTAAAGCCTCTTAGTATTTGATTTGATTTTTGTTTTTGTTTTGTGGGTTATGATATGAAGGAGGAGTGGCGTTCAAAAGTCTTGTTTTTTTTTTGTCAAAGTGTTCAACAGTGTCGAATGAATCAATTATTTTTTGAGTAATGATCGTCATGATTTTGTTAATTATTTCGGTGGTTGTTTATTTCATTGGTAATTAATAGAAAAATGAGAAGTTTGTAGGGTTAATTAATAAAATAAGGGTAAATCATGAAAAATCTCAGTGAAGCATTGTTTATCTTTCATAATAATGTCATAAATAAAAAATAAATAAAAAAGTTAACTATAGTTAAATCCATGGATGTGTGTCACTTTTTCAGAAGGGTGGTGAGAGTACACATTGGGTTAAAGCGATAAGCAAAAATGCTCTCAGAAAAAAAAACATTCCGTGGATTTGGTTTTTTAATTCAAACTTGGAAGTGTACCTCTTGGTGTCAAGAGGGGATGATACCCTTGAAAAATAACTAATATTGCCAAAAGTTAACAAAAAGCTGGGCAATGTTTTAGCTTAGCATTTGACATTTTGGTCCTTAAACAGCCTTCACCTTTCTTTCATAAAAAAGAAAGCAAAGGAAAGCAAAATGCAAAAGATGACTCTATTAGCCTAAATCTATTTATCGTGATCCTACAAGAGTCCTGGTAATCCTGAATCCTGATCATCGTTGTGGCCATACTTGTCGTGGCTGCTCAGGTATAATGGGCGGTGCATGTCGTGGCTGTTCGCGTATAATGTTACTCACATCCCAGATTTGGCAGAAACATGCTGCTCTCTTGTTCTTCCACTCAGCTCCACAAGTAGAAACCACATCTGCAAGACAATGCAAGCATGGACAAACCACAAGGATTGGTATACAAATGAAAATAGCATACAATTGTTTAGATGATTAGGATCTCATACAATGCTTGCTAACAAAAGCATGCAGAGATTGGCTCTTTTGGTGGGTTGATGGGCCATTGGCAATGTAGTTTTCTCACATATAAGAAGTCTGAGGAACTGAATCTACTTGTTTCATTCCTCTCTAAATAAAATTGCTTATTTTATGTAATCATAACAAAATCAACATGGCAATGACCAAAACACCACCCGATAACTCCAAACCAAAAACACAAAAGACCCATAATAAAAATGGATCCTTTAGTGTTAAAACTCACATATTGGTAAAGCGTGCCAGGAAAGGCAAAAAGGAGTGGAAACTTGCTGGATAAGGAAGAGACCAAGAACGTCTTGGAAATCGAGTCTTCAAATTTAAGGTGACAAGTTATACCACGTGACCATAATACTACTATTCCATAATCTAACGTGAAATTACTTTGACTAATTTTGACCATTAAGCAGCACTTTTGCAAATGACTTGGATTGGAATATTGACTTTCCTAAACTCAAAATTCAGTATGTGAAATTAGTTTGACTAATTTTGACCATTAAGCAGCACTTTTGCAAATGACTTGGATTGGAATATTGACTTTCCTAAACTCAAAATTCAGTATCTTCTATTTTGAACACGAAAGTATCACTAGATGACGGATGACCTATTTGTAATCATATTTTTATTTATAATCAGATTTCGTTAATTAATTAATTAATACTCAATAATTGTTAATTAGATTTTAAACACAACACACACAAAAAACACTTTTTTCGGTTTTCAATTCTCCTCCCCTTCTGTTTACCTCTCAACTCTCGTCTTTCTCATCTTCATTTTTCTCCTCCTCTCCTTTAATGATATCAAAACAAATTAGAGCAGAACAGATGGATCATCAAACGGAAAACCTCATGGACAAGAAGTCAGTGAACACAAAATTCTTTCAAGTGGGTATTATAGTGTTACAATTAATAATCTGAGTAAGAGTCATAGCACTCGCTGTCAGAGTCACAATACTCCTCCACATATTCCCCATATTCATATTCTTCATCCAAATCTCTATCGTCTTCAGCAGACAAGTTATGCTCACCTTCTTCAACTACCGCCTCCTCTTCGTCCTGAATGTCCTCCCCAACCTCTTTCTCTTGAATTTCCTCATATTCTTCATCAAAATCTGTATCATCTTCAGCAGACAATATTTGCTTCTCTTCCTCAAACTCATCCTCAACTTCATCTTCATCTTCATCTTCATATTCGTCTTCTTCCTCATCTTCATCCTTTTCTTCCTCCTCCTCAAAGTCTCCATCTTCATTAGACAAGATATCATCTTCATCTGACGTTGGGCATGAACATGTTGCCTTTTCGACATTCCACTCAGCTCCACTGTCACGGAAAAACTCAGGCGCTGCATTTCTGCAAAAGCAATAAAAGCATGATAATGGGTACCAAGATCACATAAACAGTTGTTTGCAAACTTGATCTGCATCTTTTTCTTTTGAGTGGAATGACCTTCAACAGCTTTCAATCACAATTAGAACAATATAAAAAAAATAATGCAGATTCCCAAGGATGGTACACAATCTGAAAAACACACACACACACTGATACAAACATATAAAATTATAAAACACATTTGTTCATCCTTGTGTCTTCATCATAGTCATCATGTGCACATTCTCTTTGTCAACTATAATGTGGGTTCTTTTTTCAAACTGTCATGTTCTTCTTCCTTTCTTTACAGTAATCAACAGATGGGAAAACCTTTTGAGCGAGCAGTAACCATTTGATACTCTTTTTTTTGGCCACAAACCATTTGATACTTTACACAACATATTAATATAAATACTATTGAATATTTTCCATTCAGAGAAAATTTGAGGGAATGACTTTAGAGAGGGGATGTTACGGTAAAAGATATTCGTAGTCAGAATACTCCTCTGAATCTGACTCTGTCACGTCCTCTGAATCTTCATCTTCATCTTCATCGTACAAAATATTACCCTCATCCCATAGTGGGCAAGAACATGTTGCCTTCTTATCTTTCCACTCAGCTCCACAATTATAACAAAACTCATACCCACATCTGCAAAAGAAATAAACCCATTAGGATGAATACTAAGATGACATAAATACAGTAACTCTCAAACTTGACGTACAACAGCTTTCAAAATTTCAATTACAATATAATAATACTGATAAAATCCAGATTCCCAACAACTTTGGGCAACAAAACACCAGTCAATGATCCTCTTAGTTAGGTTTATATTATCATGACATTTACCAAATCAAAGGTTATCAACCCTTTCCCATTCTCTGTCTTCAACTTGATCTACATTTGATTTTTACCATTTTCCTCAAGCACTCTTTCCACACATGTTTTCTCTTGATGGTTAAGACTAAATGTCAACAAATATGAATTTTCTCAACTCCCAAAAAACATAGATTGTCTTAATTCTTTCCTCATTTAAATTACTGTTGAAAACAATAGTATGATGATCACTCAATGCACAAGATTCGAATTTCGAATCTGTGTTCCACATGCCCTCTACTTTTACTAGCAAGTCATCTCAAAACTTCCATTATGGAATTTAAGCTATTCTTTTATTTTTTAAATCCCTTCCTTAGGAAACTGGAGCAAGCAGATTATTTTCTAGAGCCAAAAGTATGGCCTTTATGTTTTCTAGTTAGGACATCAATAGTGTATACAACACCCTCAATGACTAAGGTAGATTGAAATGTCTAAAACAAATCTTGTTCCCTCACATATTTTTTTTACTGAAAATAATTTCGAAAAGTTATTATGAGGGGTAAACTCCAAAAAATGGGGACTAAATACCTGCAAGTCATGTGGTAGCAACCTTCAGCAAGTTCAATCATATGGTTGCATTTCACACACTGACGCCACAGATTCCTTGAGGCAAGAGACTTTAGCTTTGTATCTTCTTCTAGGGGATAAGGATTCAGCTTTTTGTAGTCAGAGCATGTTCTGTTTTTGTGCCAAGGGACTTTACAATTGATGCAGAAAAGGCAGTTGCATTTCATGCATTTCCTAATTCCTGATAGTTCCACATCCCTCAAGGTTTTTTTGGAGTGTTCTAAAAGCTCACGTTTTGATATTAAAGCGGAGCACCTTGGATACGGGCAATAAACTTTTTCCGCAGCAGGAATTGAAGCTTCCTTTAAGCGTTGGCGCATTGTTTCCACAACTTTAGGTGTCAAGAATTTTGCACAACTGTCAACACTAAGGTCAGACTTACAACCATCATGAGGGCATCTAGGAATCATCCCGTGAAGCAACTTCACCTCCACATGTTGTTTCATACAAGAAAAGCAATACCGATGCAGGCAGCCCCCAACCGAAAACATTTGACTAACATCAGTATCTTCCAAACATATCACACAAGTCTCATTCACATTCTTACAAGTGGTAGATTGTGCAGGTTGGTTGGTCTGAGATTGAGACACTATTGCATCTCTTGCAAGTTTAAATGCAAATTTAATATGATTTCGGGGCACAAGCCTTGGGTTGCAACGTGTAAACTTTCCTTGAAGGCTCTTAACCTGATTGACAAGCGCTGCTATCTTGTGCTGCTTTGCTTGCCATTTACCAGTAACCTTCATACATAAAATCTAACGTCAGAAATTCAACAAGCTCTATTCATGGGTGTAAATAGACTGTAGCACAGTGACTAGTTCATCCAATATTCTTGGTTTCAACACAAATACTACAACATTGCACGCATAAATGTCATAATAAACTCCATTATTTTAGACCTTGTTCACAAAGACTTTCTCTAATGGTCAATTTAAATACAAGATAGCAGACTAATTTGGCAAATGCTGAGAAGACACAAGTAAAATTTCTCAAAGTGAATGCGTCTCTTTGTCCACAATGGATGATATACGATTTGCCCTATCAAATTTCATCAAGTATATCTGAAAATTGAAAGTTCACTATTGTTCCAAGAAAAACAATATTAATTCGCAAAACCTACAATCATATACACTAATATAATAGTAAGTTCCATTCCTTTAGACCTCTTTCACAAGAGTCTCATTCATGGTCAGTGTAAACCATAGCGTCCATAACCATATATATGAGATAGAAGGCTAATTATGATAGATGTCATGGATTCATTCAGATATCACAGAACTACAGTAGAATGAAGGCTAAAATCTTGAAGAATATAGGGTTAGAGAGCAAGAGAGAAACAGAGAAGTGAAGAATTCTGTAATTTCATTCAATATGATAATGATATCATCTCTTCCAACAGAAGCTAGCATGCCTTTACATACATTGCCATATGACAACAAAGAAAAATTAATTTAACTAATCTTGACACCTGTCCTAACAAATTAGTCCACATCAGCATCAATATAATGCTGGTGTGGTGTAATACTAGCAACTAAATTAAACAAATGCTGAGAAAGCCCAACTAAAATTTCTCGGAGAAAATGTGTCATCTCTGTCCACAACAGATAACATACAATCTGCTCTATCGAATTTCATCAGTATATCTTTAAAAAATTGAATTTTTATATTAAAATGCAAAATTCACAATTAGCCTAACTATTTTTCATCAACAGACCGAAACAAGGCAGAGAAGAGAAGAGATAGCAACTCACAAACTGAAAAATGGGAAAATTCTCACAGAAAAAGGTGATGCGCTTCAAGTCCAAAGCAAGAGCAGCATTAAGTCCTTCAATCAAGGCTTTCAACTGGGCTCCATTCTTGCTCATCCCATTCCCAATCAGGGGTTTCCAAACCTCGAACACCAAATTATCCTTGGAGTCGCATAGCGCAACCCCAACCCCAGCCAGCACCACTCTCTCATTTCCAACCATTTCCTCGCTCACCAAACCCTTGAAGTAGAGCCTGAACACGCTCTCACTCTCGACCCTCTTTGTCGACGACGACGACGAGGAGCCTTCGCCGAAGGGTTTGGCGAAGAGTTCGCCGGACTCTTGCCAATCGTCCTCTGGAATCTTCTTGATCTCCCTCGCGACCTGATCATCGTGAATCCGACGGTTGAGATCCTCTCTGGCTTTCCGCATTTCAATTTCGCGGTGTTTCAATTCCTGCTCCATTCTTATGAGTTCTTGGGACTTGAGGGAAACGTGGGTTGGGGTGTTGGGGATGGTCGGAACGGCGTCGTTTCGGGGGGGTTGGGTGGAGGAGGAAGAGGGTTGGAGAGCGAGAGAGGCGGCGAGGGCTTCTTGGAGTTGGATGTTAAAGGCGAGATCCATGTCGGACTCTAGGGATTCGGCTTCCATGAGCTCGCGACGTTGCTCGGAGACGGCGTCGCCGTCATCATCGGGTGACACGCTGCTGGCCATGTAGGACTGAGAGAGCGAGAAATAAAGGAAGTGTGCGTTGTCTCGCGGGACTTTTGGATTTTGGGGAGATTATATATATATATATATATATATATATATATATACAGAGAGCTTTCATCGAGGGATCCCTCAAATAAGCTTATTTGAGGGACACCCCTTATAGGCCCCATTTCGGATTGTATTTCACTAATCTAAATCGTCTATTTTGTAGATACTCATTCAAAGATCATCTCTACAAAAAATCACTTGAATCCGATATCATTTGACCACTCAATTGAGTTATTGAAATTTTAGTACTTTCTTGAAGCACCGTGTTCATTGATTTTGTAAGACACAATTGGATGTCGAAACGGTTTCCGATTTGTCTAATTTTTTATAAGGATGATCTATGAATGAAGACCTAAAAAATAGATGATTTGGATCATTAGGAAAAAAATTGTAGGGTACCCTAATGGGCGTCCCTCAAATAAAATTATTTGAAGGATCCCTCAATAGAAGGGGACTGTATATATATATATATATATTTATTTATTTATTTATTTATTTGTTTTTTATTTTTTCGTCAAAAGACATACTTTCCTTTATATAATCAGTACTAGAGATAATTCCGAAATATTTAGGGCTCGTTTGAGAGTGTTTTTTTTCGAAGCGCTTATGCTAGTAGCGCTTATGTCAATAGCGCTTATGATATAAGCGTTTTTACAAAGAAGCAGTTTGTCGTTTGGATGTCACATTTAAAAGTGATTTTATACTACATAAAAGCGCTTTTGATATTTTGTTGAGTGTTTGGCTGACACAGTAAAAACGCTTTTAAAAGTACATTAAACAAATTTCAAAAATTTCAAAATATTATAATAAACATATGGAATAAAAATTCACAGGATCCCAAAATAAAAACACGACTTAAAAAAGTATGAACTTCACCGAGTATAATTTTTAATCATTATGTTGTTAAATCATAATCCTTCACAAGGTTCGCTTCAGTTGAACTCCGTAATTTTCCCCATGCTTAACAGGACAGCCCAGTCCTTGACAAAATGCAACTTCTCTATGGACATAATTTTAATAGTTTTCTCTGTGGCCAAATATTGACTACCATGCACCTGTGCATCCATACCCTACTCAATGTGCATTAGTGCAAGTTCTCTGTTTCCAATCGTAGTTTAGGTCCTGTTGGATATGCCTCCCGTTATTATCTCATGTATGTTTTTCTGTTTGTTTTAGCGTAGAGCTGGCACGGCGTGAGAAGGAGAGAAGGGAAAGAAGACAGAGGTGGGTCTGAGGCTCGATTGTTGCTGCCTTAACTCTTGGTACTGCAGCCTTGGCATACTCTTATATCCCATCTGTTGGGCTTTTCACAGGTAATGTTTTGGTTTTAATAGGAGAGAAAAAAAAACAAAAAAACAAAAAAGAGAAAAAAATCATAAAGAAAGGATATTTTGGCATTTAAAAAAAATTAAATATGGGCATTTTCGGCATTTTAAAAGTTTCATTAAAGGGAGTCAAGTGCTTCTTCCAAATCCACTCCAAGTGCTTTTGGATCTCACCCAAAGCGCTTTTGCAATTTTTGCAAAACACCATTTTTAAAAGACAGAAGCGCTTTCTGCTGCTCCGAAAGCACTCACAAACGAGCCTTTAATTCACTGGTAACAATTAACGCACTAAAATAAATTCTTTGTAAGTTCCATTCCTTTAGACCTCTTTCACAAGAGTCTCTTCCATGGTAAGTGTAAACCATAGCGTCCATAACCATATATATGAGATAGAAGGCTAATTATGATAGATGTCATGGATTCATTCAAATATCACAGAACTACAGTAGAATGAAGGCTAAAATCTTGAAGAATATAGGGTTAGCGAGCAAGAGAGAAACAGAGAAGTGAAGAACTCTGTAATTTCATTCATTATGATAATGATATCATCTCTGCCAACAGAAGCTAGAATGCCTTTACATACATTGCCATATGACAACAAAGAAAAATTAATTTAACTCATTTTGACACCTGTCCTAATTAATTAGTCCACATCAGCATCAATAATGCTGGTGTTGTGTAATACTAGCAACTAATAAATTAAACAAATGCTGAGAAAGCCCAACTAAATTTCTCAGAGAAAATGTATCATCTCTGTCCACAACAGATAACATACAAAGTTCTTGTCGACTGGATCATCATCAGCGCACTTGAGAGCTCCGCCGCTCCCTTTCGAGATTTGGTCTCGCTTCCCAAATGTTGAAGGTTGGCTGAGTCTCACTGACTCACTGAGATGCTGAAGATGATGACGCGGAATATAGCTGCTTCTTATTCTTCTTATTGCACCAGCAGGAGATGGAGAGGTATGCCTTGTCTTCACTCTAACTCCACTGTTGTTGTTTTCGCCAACGATTACTTTGCTTTCCTTCACTCTCAACCTTCTAAACCAATCAAATCTACAAGAACCCAACTAGAGCAGCCAGTGAGAAACTCACCCAAAATCACAACTGTTGAGGATGCTTTCAATGTGTTTGATAGAATGCTTCAAATGCGTCCTCCGCCTTCAGTTGTTCGTTTCAATCAAATATTGGGTCAAGTTGCGAAATTGAAACATTATTCTTCCGTCATCTCCTTGTATAACCAAATGGATGTGTCGGGAATTGGACCTGATGTTTATACTCTAAACATTCTCATAAATTGTTATTGTCATCTAAACCAAATGGGGTTTAGTTTATCTGTATTGGGAAAATTCTTCAAACTTGGTCTTGAACCAGATGTCTTTACCTTCACCACTCTAATCAACGGCTTTCTTCTTGAGAATAGAGTGGCGGAGGCGGCAACCCTTCTCCACAAGATGATGAGGGGAGGTAATTGTCAGCCTGATGTGGTTACTTATGGCACACTAGTAAAGGGCTTTTGCATGAAAGGTAACAACAGTGCTGCTATTCAGTTGCTTAGGAAGATGGAGGAAGGAGCTTGCAAGCCTGACCTAGTTGTCTATAACACAATCATCGACAGTCTTTGTAAGGATACACTAGTTGATGATGCATTGAACCTCTTCTCAGAAATGATGAGCAAGGGTATTGCCCCAGATGTCATTACCTATACATCCTTGATTCATGGAGTTTGCAAATTAGGCGAGTGGAAAGAAGCTACAAGGTTGTTGAATGAAATGGCGAGTAAAAATATATTTCCAGATGTGTTCACGTTCAGCGTATTGATAGACACAATTTGTAAGGAGGGAATGGTCGTGGAAGCAGAAGGCGTGGTTGAGATGATGATTCAAAGAGATATTGATCCTGATTCGGTTACGTACAATTCACTCATGGATGGTTACTGTTTGCGAGGAGAAATAAGCAAGGCACAAAATGTTTTTGAACTAATGCTTAGCAAGGGCTCGATGGTTAATGTTGTTAGTTACAGCACATTGATAAATGGATATTGTAAGCATAAAAAGATTGATGAGGCCATCATGCTTTTTCTGGATATGTCTCATGAGGGACTAGTTGCAGATACTGTTACCTATAACACTCTTCTGGATGGTTTTGGCAAAGTGGGTAGAATAGATGATGCACAAAAGTTGTTCTCTAAGATGCAAGCTTGTGGCCAGCTTCCAGATGCTCAAACTTATTCTATTTTACTTGATGGCCTGTGTAAAAACCGACAACTTTCTAGGGCAATGCAATTGTTTGGAGAGATGGAAGCTAAGAAGTTGGATATTAATATTGTGATTTACAATATTCTTATTGAAGGTTTGTGCATAGCTGGAAAAATTGAATCTGCAAGGGATCTCTTTTGTGGTTTATCATCAAAAGGACTTCAACCTAATGTGAGGACATACAATATAATGATTAGTGGACTCTGTTTCGCGGGCCTAACAAGTGAAGCAGAAAATTTGCTTATCCAAATGGAAGAGAAAGGCTGTTCTCCTGATGGTTGGACCTATAACACAATTATCCGAGGGTTCATCCATAATAAACAGACATCAGGGGCGATGGTACTTATTCAAACAATGGTAGAGAAGGGTTTTTCTGCAGATGCATCAACAATGGAGTTGATAGTTAATTTACTGTCGAAAGATGAAGTAGATCCTGCTTTGTTGGCGTTGATAAAAAATCACTGTGAAATTAATGTGCATTTGTGGACAATGAAATTTGGAACTGCTGCACCTTCAACAGCCATAAAGGGATTACAGTGGTTGTGCATATGGCAGGAGGTGAAAATGCCTTCTCACTTGCATCCTTAATTTCTGGTATTAATTCTGTTTAATGGAATATCTAGCACTCTTTTGGACTTTTCCCTTTATCTATGATGATTTATTTACTTTGTATTCCTATCACTTGGCATCTTGCAGTATATAGAAGGCCAAATATATAAATTTAGGTGTGCCTTCTCACGACTCTCCTAGCTTGAAAATGTTTCTACAGATAATGTGTCCACTTATTCAGGCATCAGAAACTTTGACAAAACATAGACCATTATATGTTAAATCAATTATCTACGGAGGATTTTTAAAATCAAAGGTTGGTTTGTCTCTCTTCCCACATAATGTATATACTTTGGCAATTCATTGAAGTTCTGGAGACGAGTGTGTTACTTTGGCAATTTATGTTAACTAAACTAATTTGCAGAAAGAAAATAATCTGCAGAAAGAAAATATAATATTTAAATAAAATTGAACAGAAAGCAGAAAAGAGAGATGAACACCTGAGTTTGAAGTTTGAAGATATATTGTGGTAGTTCCGATTTTCAGAACTTTGTGGAAGAAAGCGTCAACTGCCAACATCACAACGTGGATTATCCTTCTTTTGTGCAGTTATCATCTTTTATTTTATTTTATATTTTTAATATTTTGGTTAACTGTTGAATTTTCCATTTTGTCCTCATCATATTCGTTTTCTACTTGTGGCAATTTTTTCTTAACCAAGGGTATTATCGGATTTTTCAAAAAAATCCTAGCGGCTATACTATTTTTAAAAAAATTAGGGGGAAAAAACGAGTATAGCCGCCCGACTGTACCTTTTTTAGAATTAAAACCGCGTATAGATACTGTTTATAGATATTAATTTTCCAGTTTCAACATCCAAAGCATATATCGAAGAGAGAGAAATTTCACAGTAACTCAATTAGAGAGTTGTTTTTCTTTTTTTGGTGTGGGAATCCTTTGATCGACCTCGTTCTCTCGAGTAATACTAAATTCTATTACTACACACATTATTTGTTGTAGAGAATTGCATGCTGAGTTGAAGTGTTCTTGATAATTGCTTCACTTTTCAAACAACACTTTACATGAAGAATACTACCACCTCTCTGACTGCTATACCCATAAATCTTTGTTTGAAATTGTTGTTATGGTTGGCAAAGAGATTACAAAATCACCATATTGCATTTTTGTTACAACAAGTAAGAAATAATCATAGCCTCTCACATTCGTTTATAGTTAGTAAAATATGGAAAAGGAAAAAATACGAATAAAATACGTACGAGTTTTATTTGGCAAAATTGTGGCACATTACAACTTAAAAGTTTGGCCACTATATTATATTTTAATATAAATTATTTACATTTTTAAATATATATATTATTTTTATAAAAAAAAAACTAATTCATTTCTTAGATCCACACCAATTTTGATTTATTTTGTTTTTGAAAAATGTAATTTCCTGACAAAAGTGATATTGGGAAAGAGGAATTAAGTAACAATTTATCTCATAATCTATGTTCTTCTAAACTTGCCGAATATTTTAATCACAACCATTCATTTTACATATATAGTTTTTGGGTAATAGGTGGATTTGCATGCTTTTGCACTATTTGTTTTTGGGTACATGTATTTGCACTCCATATACATGTTGCTAATTTGAGGCACGCAATAAGTAATAATGGCCAAAGGAGGAAAACCCGCGGAAAAGAAAAAAAGAATTATTCCGCTGCCGGGATTCGAACCCGGTTTAATAATCTCAATCCAAGGTATTGTGCTACAGCGGATTTGTTGAAATTGATTGGAGAAATAACTAATATAAACGATTAAAAGTTGCTGGAGTTTCTGTCTTACCAGTATTACCCGAATTTTAGCAAATACGTGTCAAGATGGTCATTATTTTTTTCTCCAACAAAACCAAAAACAAACAAAAGACATAGCCTGCTGCCATAATATTCATGCAAATACCAATTCTTTTGAGGGTTATGGGCTGTTTGTTTTTATTTGTGTGCCTAAAAAAATTATTATTTATTGGTAAATACATTTGCATTATATACATATATGTTGCTAATTTGAGGCACACAATAAATAACAATCGCCAAAGACACAAGAAAATTTTGGCCAAAATAAAAAAAAAGGAGGAAGAAAAAAATAGCGACTGGAAATTTTCTACAGTCTTTATCTTATGTTTGTCCCAAAGTTTATATTTGCACGGTTCATTTGAGCTTGTGATTTGTAATTGTGCACAATATTGTAATTTCATCATTGTGTATCCATAACAACAATCTATCCTAAATTTGAATTTGTCCTATTCTTAGGAATGTGAATTATTTATGTTCAGAAATGTCTTTTGCTTCATCTCTTGATGATGATGATGACGACTTCTCTTCCTCAATTAATGATTGAGTTTGGGGCTTGGGGGAAGAGGGTGGCTACTGAATGTATGTTGTATGACGAAATTCATCAGGAGCTTCTGCACTATGTGTTTTTTGTAAATACAAACCACCTAGAATAAACTACTATGTTATATTTGTACGATTGATTTGAATATGTAATGTGTAACCGACATGATATTGTACTTTTTGTAATTTTTAGCAACAATTTATCATAATATTTATGTTATAATATTTGTCAAATTTATTAACTTCCACTTAATGAAGCCAAATCAGCTTATCTTGTATGGACGTGAACAGCCTGAACTTTTAATGGCTGAAGAGGGAAAAAAATAAAAGCGTATTCCGTTGCCGGGATTCAAACCTAGATTGTATTCTCAATCCAATTTATTGGGCTACAACGGTTGTGTTGATATTTAGTGAAGAAACAATTGATATAAACGATTAAAAAATTCCAAGGGTAGAATAAGTATATATATTAATTAGGTAAAACAAGTATAGCCAGGCGGCTAGGATGTACTATTAATGTCAGTACACAATCAAAAACTGGAACCACCTTGTTATTTGGAGTGTAAAACCCAAAAAGTGGTCTGAAAATGAAGTCTCACTCCGTGTCCATGATATCCAGCTTCTTTCCAGTCGGATTCTTTGTGTAAAGGACAATGGGTTAGAGTCTTGCACAAATAGGTAACATCTAAAGCATTTTAAACTTTTCAGAACTTTGTGCAGTTATCATCTTTTATTTTATTTTATATTTTTAATATTTTAGTTAACTGTTGAATTTTCCATTTTGTCCTCATCACATTTGTTTTCTTCTCATGGCAATTTTTTCTTAACCAAGGATATTATCAAAATTTTCGATTATTTCACCATTTTCTACATTTTACGCATACATATATATATATATATATATATATATATATATAATGAGAGCTCGTGATAATTCCGAAATATTTAATTCACTTTGTAACAATTAACCCACCGAAATAAATTCTTTGTAAAAATGAAGAAAAAAGAAAGCACAACCCTTTCCCGACATAGCATAGCATTGTTAAATGCAATTAGAAAGGAAATCTAATTCGAAACTCGTCGAAACAAAGTTCTTTTCGACTGGATCATCATCCGCGCACTTGAGAGCTCCGCCGCTCCCTTTCGAGATTTGGTCTCGCTTCCCAAATGTTGAAGGTTGGCTGAGACTCATTGACTCACTGAGATGCTGAAGATGATGACGCGGAATATAGCTGCTTCTTCTTCTTCTTATTGCACCAGCAGGAGATGGAGAGGTATGCCTTGTCTTCACTCTAACTCCACTGTTGTTGTTTTCGCCAACGATTACTTTGCTTTCCTTCACTCTCAACCTTCTAAACCAATCAAATCTACAAGAACCCAACTAGAGCAGCCAGTGAGAAACTCACCCAAAATCACAACTGTTGAGGATGCTTTCAATGTGTTTGATAGAATGCTTCAAATGCGTCCTCCGCCTTCAGTTGTTCGTTTCAATCAAATATTGGGTCAAGTTGCGAAATTGAAACATTATTCTTCCGTCATCTCCTTGTATAACCAAATGGATGTGTCGGGAATTGGACCTGATGTTTATACTCTAAACATTCTCATAAATTGTTATTGTCATCTAAACCAAATGGGGTTTAGTTTATCTGTATTGGGAAAATTCTTCAAACTTGGTCTTGAACCAGATGTCTTTACCTTCACCACTCTAATCAACGGCTTTCTTCTTGAGAATAGAGTGGCGGAGGCGGCAACCCTTCTCCACAAGATGATGAGGGGAGGTAATTGTCAGCCTGATGTGGTTACTTATGGCACACTAGTAAAGGGCTTTTGCATGAAAGGTAACAACAGTGCTGCTATTCAGTTGCTTAGGAAGATGGAGGAAGGAGCTTGCAAGCCTGACCTAGTTGTCTATAGCACAATCATCGACAGTCTTTGTAAGGATACACTAGTTGACGATGCATTAAACCTCTTCTCAGAAATGATGAGCAAGGGTATTGCCCCAGATGTCATTACCTATAACTCTTTGATGAATGGAGTTTGCAAATTAGGCGAGTGGAAAGAAGCTACAAGGTTGTTGAATGAAATGGCGAGTAAAAATATATTTCCAGATGTGTTCACGTTCAGCGTCTTGGTAGACACAATTTGTAAGGAGGGAATGGTCGTGGAAGCAGAAGGCGTGGTTGAGATGATGATTCAAAGAGATATTGATCCTGATTCGGTTACGTACAATTCACTAATGGATGGTTACTGTTTGCGAGGAAGAATGGACAAAGCGAAAAAGGTTTTTGAACTAATGCTTAGCAAGGGCTCGATGGTTAATGTTGTTAGTTACAGCACATTGATAAATGGATATTGTAAGCATAAAAAGATTGATGAGGCCATGATGCTTTTTCTGGATATGTCTCATAAGGGGCTAGTTGCAGATACCGTTACTTATACCACTCTTATGGACGGTTTTTGCAAAGTGGGTAGAATAGATGATGCACAAAAGTTGTTCTCTAAGATGCAAGCTTGTGGCCAGCTTCCAGACGCTCAAACTTATTCTATTTTACTTGATGGCCTGTGTAAAAACCGACAACTTTCTAGGGCAATGCAATTGTTTGGAGAGATGGAAGCTAAGAAGTTGGATATTAATATTGTGAT